CGGCATTCGTGATCTACGAATTGGTACACGAAAAAATGATTCTACTTTTGGAAAAGTATCGTGAGCTATTGCAGTTAACATTTTGGATTTCGTTATCCGCTTTCTTGAGAAAGAATTCTTCTTTTTTGATGTTTTCATATTTCGGATATTTTTAAATCATTGGAGTTATCCTATGCATGTCGCCAAACGAGCGTTGCCGAAGAAATATGGTGATCCGCGGAAGATTGTATTTTTTTTGGTTTGTGTTGTTGTTCTTTTATGTTTTCTTTTGGATAATTGGGTATCCTGCACCGAGATCCAGACTAATTTTAGAAACGGAGCAAGCCATATGACTAGAATATGCACTCATTTCCCCAATATGAGACTTGAACTCGGGGATAGGATAGACGTTTTGCGTCCCTATTTCACCGGTTGATCTATCCAAATTAGGTTTTTATGTTTAATCATATGCTTGAGATTTTAAGCTTGTGTTTTTTCACCACATTCGTTTTTAATTTTTATTTGGGTTTTATTCAGTGAGACGAATTATACGGAATTGAATCCGAACTAAGTTAAATTATTTTACATTGCAACTGATTCTCGATTTGTTTCCCATATGGTTTGGAATAAAATGGTTATAATTTTGTTCATGACTTGATTTGATTTGATTTGTGTAATTGTTATGAAAAATATTAAAATTGAAAGAATTGGGTTTTACCATTTTCATCTGTAATATATTCGGAAAGAATAAAAAACTGGAAATTGAACAAAGTTTGGAGAAAAGCGTTGAACAATCAAACAAAAATTCTACCACATAGAAAAGACACGTGGCAGACACGGCTGACATTATTATTCCCTCTATCATCTCCGAATTTGTTTTATTACTAGAAAAAAACACCGCATGCGCTGTTTATTATTTTTATATATACTAAATTTATTTATATAATTTTAATAAAGAAATGATATAATAATAATATGTTTGAGTTAGATTTATAAATTTAAATATTTTTTTGTATATCATAAACTAATATCATATTATATTGATGGATTTCATTAATATGCACTTTTGTTTTTGTACGTAGCTATATACATATATACATTAATATTGCATGCTGGTTTTCTCACAACCCTTTTAAGACATTGCAAAAAAAATATTTGCATTTTCGAAATTCTTTTTTTTTCTCTCGCTTCGGTCTTCATAAATATTTACATAGACATTGCAAAAAAATCACTCGTAGTTATTTAGTTGTTTCTTTGTGTTCTACAGTTTCAAACGAAATTCATCAGCTTTTGTATCCCATGCAGTCACACAAATGTCGTGGGAATTATAACAATTAAACAAACACTTTTAAAAATAAAAATGACAAAAAGAAATATAACACTTTTAGAGTAATATTTTAACATTGGAATTTACAAAAATATAAAAATATATATACCTTGCCATTTGTAGGTCAGCAACAACTCTTTGCTTGGATAACAAATGTTCGTTGTTAGTATCTCTTATACGTTAGACTCGACAAATAACATCTTCGATAAGAATATAAAATTAAAAGAAAAATAGTATCTTAGAAGACATAATTTTAGGAATAAAGAAAAATAAAAAAAATAATCAACAAAGTTGATATGTCTATTTACCTGGTAATTCTTCATTTTTGTTAGCCAACACAATAAATTCACCGTAATCACGAAACCTTAAAAAACTCTTTAGGTATCTCAATAGTGGGTACTCTAAATTTTGATATATTAGTTCGTTCCGTGAAACGAATAGATAGTTTGAAATCAATTAGCTTGAATATATCGTTAGTCCTATCAACGTCAAACTCGGTTAGAAGATAAATAGCTCCTACACAGAACACATCTTTGTAGCCACTCAAAAGATGACGACCAATAGATCCCTTGTGTAACAGTGGACTATAAGGGGGAAAAGGAAAGTGATAAGTAAATTTTTTTTGGAATAAGTATTAACATTTGTGATAATAAGAAACAAATAAATTTTGGAAACAATGCAATGATGTTCGGTATACCTTTTCGTCGATGAGTAGAAAATATACACTCATGAGTTCATCACCTTTTTTGACATTTCGAACTTCCCAAAAACGTAATAATCGGTCAACTATTCGCTGCGTTGGTTGACCAATCCGTAAATCAACTATTCGCTTTCGTTCAAATGTGAGTACTTCCTAGTTAAACAGGAAAGAGTTTATAATGGAGCATACACTTTCTTTCAAGTTGCAACGATAAACATTAATGGGATTAAAAGGATTGCAACTCCAATAAAGATTTAATTAAATTAGGACAAATCATTTGTAACTTTCCCTCTAAATAATTGAATAAGGGGACATGAATCGTCTCGTAATTGGTGTTGACCACTTCGCCACTATGTGTTTATATAAATAATTAGGATTTATTCCTATAAAAACGTTATTACCTTTAATTGTGGTAACCTCCACGTATTCCTAGTAATGTCAATTTGGGTTGGGTTTGATGGGTTAACCCAACCCAACCCATTTATTATCATTTTTGGGTTATGTTTTTGGGTTGAAATTATTTAATGGGTTAAATGGGTCTAAACCCATTAAACCCATGGGTTTAATGGGTTAACCCAATTGACCCAAATAAAATACTATTTACAAACCTTTTTTTCTTTCTTTTTAAGACCTTTATTTTAACTTTCACGCATTCTACGCTCCTAATTTAACAAGTTATTTATTAACAAAAACCTTTCTATTTAATTATTTTTATATTTCTAAATATTCATACTTATATTTTCGTTTTCGATTATTGAACTATTTTAGTAATACTAACTTTTATACCTTTCCAAATTCTCTTATTAATCCCATTTTAAAATAAAACATGCGTGCATACTTATACGCATAAAATATATACAATTATATGTGTATACAATCACATACACGTTTATATATATATATAAGCATACATATATACATATATACTTATAAAGTTGTACCGTTTATTTTTTAAACTATATATTATGTGGGTAAAATTTATTAGGAAGTTACAAATTTTACTGTTATTTTTGTTTAGTCTAAACGCAAAACATATATACATAATATTTATCAAATATCATACATGTATATATATTCATACACATAGACATATACATTACATACATACATAATTTTTTGTGTATTTAAAATTATATATTACATACACATACTATATATACATACACACGTATGGATATAAATATAATTAATTTTTATATGGAAAACATATGATAATCCGAGTACTGAATATTTGGTATCTTATATATTATAATATTTTATAAAATATATATTTTTATATACAAAAATTATGAGATGGATGATCACATGAATTATGAGGTGGATGATCTAATTAAATGTTTATATAATGGAGATTATTAATAACCAATCAAGATATTGAAAACTTCCACCTAGGATGCTTAGGTGGCTTCACCACAATCCTCTAAACACAACTATTAATATATATAGATTTTAAGATCTTATTAATTGATAAAAACTGACCAGTAACGACAGTTTGCAATCACATTTAACTTTCCAATACCCACCGAATTATGTTAGTGGAATATTTATATTTTTTAAGAAAATGTATTTAATTATATTATATGCAAGTGTAGGTATGTCGATTATATTTTGTTATTATCGGATTCAGAATATTTAATTTTTGTAAAAATATAATCCATTGACGATTATATTTAACTAAGTTTTGATGAGATTGTCCGCTATTATAGTAGTTGAAAAAGACCTAAATTAAATTGATAACGACATTAAATTGACAACAAGACGAGAGAGGATAAGAGGTGAGGGGCCGATACGTTCACATCCGAGGTTGTCTGGTCTCTATTGCATTTGCCATGAATCGGTTTTGTTCAATATGCGATTTGCTCCTCTACTTTGTTGTTCCCTTCATAAATACTTGATATTTGACATTTCTGGTTCTCTTTTTTTGTTTGTCTAAATATTTTATTATACAGATAAGTCTTTTATATCTTACGAATTTATTTATGATGGCAATACAAAATTTGTTTATTTACAGGACGAAAAACCAAAATATGAAAAGAAATAATATTTTCACAAATGGTTACAATAACAGTACATTCAAAAACAACAATCAATTAACTTAATAAATAAAATTCAATTTTAATTTTGTTATAAAATCTATCGACTATTCATTTTGAGACTTTAAAACATCTTCTACTGTAAACTTGTTATAAATATCCATCTGTTTTTAATTTGAAAAAAAAAACATATATACTATATACATTATTTTTTATTTAATTAATTTATGTACATACTATACTTCATTTACTAATTTTTTTTAAAAAAATAGAATTGATAGTTTGGAACATCTCAAATAGTAATAGGTGATAAATATTATCAAATATTTATACATTATTATAAGTTCAATGGATAAATTATATTTACTTTTTAAAATAAAAATTTATATAAATTTTGTATATAAAGTATAATTTTTATAAATTATATAATTCTAAATATGAAAATTAAAAATATAAATATTTATTCGAATTCTAAATACTATAATAGAAAAAATTGTATAAATAGATATTTTTTGTTGTGATATTTAGAATTATATATATATACACACACATAATTTTTGGGGCGATAGATTCTTAAATAACAATATTAAAATAATTTTTTTGAGTCAATTATATAATTGATGGGGCTTTTTTCAAAATTAAAATTTTATGAATTTTGAAAAAAGTTTAAAGTAGAAGGAATTTTTTAATAAGTTGGATAATTGATTTTTTTATTCGAAACTAAAGTTTTTTTTATAGATTTTATTAATAAGTTTAAATTTTTTTTAGTAAGCTATATAATTGATGATTTTTTAGTTTTTTTCTAAAATAATAAACATGAAGAATAGATACTATTATCATGATTTTTTTTTATTAAGGGTGAAGAATTATTTTTTTAAAAACTTGTAAAAAAAATATGCAAGATTTTGAGTGGTCCTTAAAATAACCATTTCTTATCTGACGTAGTGAGAGAATATATATATATATATATATATATATATAGTTTATGTAAGAGTAAAACTTAATTAAAGAACCTGTAAAATCCATACAAATATTAAATTATTTTTTGTTTTGTTTTTTCACGGAGTTTGTTAATACATCCAAACAAATAAATTATTAAGTTATAAATTAATGTTCCTAATTCTTACAAACGATTTGCGGAGAAATCGTGCACGTTTAAAACACTCCCAGTACGAAATCGTTACACACAATAATCTGCGGAGAAATCAAGTGTGTTCTTCTCTCTTTCTGTGTCTCCAAGTGTCTGAAGTTTGATCTCATATGCGAATGGTAATGGCTTCATTGCTTTACCTATTCACACTTTTTTTGGGGTTTTTTTTTGTTGGGGTTTACGTGGTGTACAACCACCAAAACATCAAATGGGTCGGGTCAGTGTCCTAAGATTGGTGGTTCCCACCATGAATATGAATGGAATGGTTCGGAAATTTTCATCCTTTTTGTGTCCTATTCTCTCTGAAATCAATTTTTGTGGGAATTCCGACGGGAAAACTTCAGGATTACGCCTTTAAGTGTCGCAAGCCTTTCTTTGATAACCTCTAAGAATCTAAATTTTTTTATTATCAGATTCGACACCCATTTCATATAAAATGACTTATATAACCTTATATACAAAAAATCTAAAATATCCTTTTATATTTGGATTTAAAAACTTGGTGAAAAGAAATCAGAGAGTTTTTTTCTCTCTCCTATCACGTTGCTATCTTCTTCTCCTCTGTTTCACCGCACCAATTCTTCTGCAATCACAAAAAAAAATATTTTTTTTATTTTTTGTGCAATTTTAACTGACTCATCAGAATCCAAATCACCTATTGTCTTCTTCATGGAGTCTTGTCGTGTTGCTCTTTTTGGATTTTAAGATTTTCTCTCACTTTTCTCCATTTTCTTCCTCACCGAACAAAGCTTCATGAAGCAAGTTTCAAGTATATCCACTTTGCTTTTCTTTCATTTTTCACTAACCCATTTCGTTTTTCATTTCTCAAACCAATCCAAATTGATTTTGGTCATGTCTATTATTTAGCATGAATAGGATCTGAGTCTTTTCAATATCTTCGTTGGGTTGATTGGTCGTGTTCTGATGCCACTTCTGTCCAACACAGGAAAAGAGAATCAGATTACTGACCTGGTTCGTATTCGAAAAACCCAGGAACGAAAAGTTTATTGATCATGAATTGATATAGAATAAGAGACTTTATTGATCATGAACTGATATAAAATAAGAGATAAGTGAAAAAATATTAAAATAAATCACACGTTTTAAATTTGATATCAATTTGTGTTTATTTTATTATCTAAAAAAACAATTTATTGCGACTTAATTACGACATATTTGCGACTTTGCAAATTGATTTTTTTTTACGAAAATGTTGGAAAAAATAATCCAAAAAGTCAAAAAGTCAAAATATAAAAAATTTAAACCGTCAAATGAAGTCAAAAAATCAAAACATTAAGTAGAAAAATCAAACTGTCAAAAACTAACTAAAGTCAAAGAGTCAAAACGTCAAAAAATCAAAATCGTAAATTCGAGATCTTTTTAACAAATTTACAAAAATTCTATGGTGGCAAACAAGTCGTAATCAAGTTGTAAATATTGGATTGTGGTCGATTCCCGAGATAATATCAATGACTCTTTCTTGGTTGGACCCACTTTCTCTAGGTATTTTGTCCACGTGGCTTTATATATTATTTAGATTTTTGTCTTTGTTATGCACAAGTTTGTTTTTCGAATAAAAACGATTCAATTACAACCAATTTTTTTTTTTTATCACAATTGCCACTAAATATTTATAACTTTTTTTGGTAGTATCTACAATTTTCTATACTTAGTTGAAGATCACATGCCACAAATTTATTAAAGACTTGTAGATTTTTTATAATACAACACTAAATAAATATGAACCTTATATATACACTTTCACATATATTATATGAAATGTATAACAATATTAATTTTGTTTAAAATATGAATGCAATCCGATTATTATCACTTAATTTCAAGATTTTCATCATCATTTGATAAAATCGAGTCAAAATTCGCGATTTGGAAACATTTTTAAATAATTCAAGCTCTAATTAATCTACATGGCTTTTATTAATTAATTTCGATGTTTATTTTTTTACACAAATTCGATCCTAGACAAATTTGGTCACAAATGCTACTAATATTTCGTTACAATTGCTACTCTTTATTTGGAATCTTTTTTTGCAGTATATCTGACCTTCTGTGATTGGATTTTTTGTATACATGTTCGAACTCAGACAAATTTTCTCATTTTTTGGACATATATAGAGATCAATAGATATTAAACATCACAAAGTGAGTTCAACGTTAATACATACCAAAACAACACAAGTAGAGTTCAATATTCACACATACAATACATCACAAACCTTGTCAAATTATACAATCCTAACCACTTAGATATCCTTTCAACGAATTTAAATATCGGTCTTGTTTCGAGATTTTCGTAAAACTTCAAGAAATTATCCCCGACATCCTGCATCCACGAAAATACATCGAGCAAGATTAATTATAGTAAAAATATCTCCAGGTTAAATTTTTTGGTGAAGTTATGGACGCGACAGTTATTCAGGTAAAGAATCGAAACACCTCAAACGTCTCGCCGCTGACGGTTACAGTTGTCATGTGTTCGTCGACGTCATTATAATGCTCGAACATCAGGATTTGGGCTTCAACAAAGTTATTGAAAACAAAAACAGAGTAAGTACGAAAGAAATGGGTCACAATAGAACCGCCAGTTCTGTTTCCGATAATGTAGACGGTCAGAGACGCGCCATCTTCACCATCTTCAGAATGGAAAAGTGGCCACCATTGAAAAACACAGAAGAAGAAGATTGCAGATGGAGAAAATATTATTTTAATTTCTAAAGGTTCTGAATTTTGGTCTTGGATCTTATCATTTCAATCAGATCTTGAATTAGTCTCTTCCTTGATTTTTCTCTCGACATCTTTCTCTCTGATTTCTGATTTCTGATTTCACAATCAGTGTAAAAAATTGCGTCTTTTTTATTTTTATTTTAAGTGGTCGGTTTTTATCTTACACGCGTGTATGTTATATACCGTTTCTCAGTTGAGGTTATCATAGTCTTTTCCAACTTTTTTTTAAGGGTATGAACATAATAAAACTATATGTTTTTGGGGTGTATCTATGAAATGGATGCGACAGGTTTGGTGTATTGTGAAGTTTGCCCAATTCCGACAGTATGTATTAATTCTGAGCGTGGATTTTCCTCGATTTGTGTCTCCTTAAAGCTCATGATGCTCTGTTGAGAACCGGCATTCATCAGACCCAACCGAACACTGAGAAAACCAAAAGACTCTCGAGTAAAAACCATGGATGAAGCCAATCTGAATAAGCCGCTCATACCAAGCTCAGGAGATGAATTCCCGAAAGAATCATCTGTGTTGGTTTCGTCGGTGAAATGGGTCCTAAAAGTTGTAATGTGGGTGATTTTCTTGAGTTGGGTTGTCTTGATTTTGCTTTACCCAGGAGAATCCTGTGCCCATTTGGTAAGGAAATGGAGTAATTCCATGTCTGGGTCTCTCTTCGGCATCACAGGTTACTGTTTTTACATTTGTTTCTGTTTCTGTTTCTTCGAAATGTCCCCTGCAGTTTAAATCCCATCCCGTGTCCGAACTGTGCAGGAAGCATGTTCCTGATTTTTAGTGGTCCGATTCTTCTGGTCGCTCTCTTGGCTGTTCTGTATCTGATCATCTCTGGGGAAGAGACTTTTTCCAAGTATGCCCTGTGCAAATAGAGACCTTACCTGTCTGGGTTTTACACCTGTTAACATGTTGAACTTATCAAACATGTTTCTTCTGTGGCCTTAAGGAGGAAGGCTTCGAAGTTTCCTAGGTTCAGGCTATGGACTTTTCCAGTACTTGTGGATGGACCCTTTGGTGTTGTTTCCGCAGCCGAATTCCTTGGAATTCTCGTTCTCTTCGTGTTCATCATCTGGGCCACGTACACTTACACCATGCAAAACCTCAGTCTTCTCTCTCTCTTCAATGTCCCTCCCGACGGGCAAAGGTGCTCAATCGTTTCTTGCAGCTTAAATCTATGTTTCTCCTGTCTTATTGTCGTTATTGCTTCGAATTGGGTCACCTTTCTTAGTGGATTTGGATGGTAGTTCTTGTCTTTAAACCCTTGTTTTGCTGGCTTAATCTTCCCATCTTTTTGGTTGTTGTTCGTCCAGTGTTCTGTTGTTGGAGGTTACCGGTGTTCGTCTCGGGATGATCGGGTTACTATGCATGGTGTTTTTGTTTCTTCCGATATCGAGGGGGTCGGTCTTCCTCCGTCTCGTAGACATCCCTTTCGAACACGCTACGCGATATCACGTGTGGTTGGGGCATATCACCATGGCCTTGTTTTCCCTCCACGGCCTCTGTTTCATGATCGGATGGGCCATCGATGGGCGTCTAGCTGCTGTAAGATTCGGCTCTGGTTCATCTCCTTTTCCTTCGTCTTTACCGTCTCGTCAATTTGACGTGCTTCGTTCTTGTTCAGTTGTTTGAATGGAGGGCTAAAGGCATTTCCAACTTTCCGGGAGTCATCAGTCTTCTCGCCGGTTTACTGATGTGGGTGACGTCGCTTCATCCCGTGAGAACGCGTTTTTTCGAGCTGTTCTTCTACACTCATCAGCTGTACGTAGTCTTCGTTGTGTTCTTGGCGCTTCACATCGGGGATTACCTCTTCTGCATAGTCGCCGGAGGAATATTTGTCTTTATTCTTGATCGGTTCTTGAGGTTCTGCCAGTCTAGGCAGACGGTGGATGTCCTTTCGGCCAAGAGTTTGCCTTGTGGAACCGTCGAAATCGTCCTCTCGAAACCTGCAAGTAACGATCTGAATTTAGAATCTTTATTACTTTTCGAAGACTTTGTAGTTTGTTTTCAATAGAAACCGCTGACTCTTTCTTCGTCCCGGGAAAACCAGATCTGCGATACAATGCCCTGAGTTTTATCTTTCTCCAAGTGCGGGAACTCTCGTGGCTGCAGTGGCATCCTTTCAGCGTGTCGTCGAGTCCTCTAGATGGGAAGTATCACATGGCGGTTCTCATAAAGGTTCTCGGCGGGTGGACGGGAAAGCTAATGGATCGCATCTCTAGGATTTCCGAAGCAGAACAACAGCAACTCCCTCACGGGTCTCTTCCCATGATCACAGCCTCTGTGGAGGGACCTTATGGCCATGAATCTCCATATCACCTGATGTATGCGTTTAAAGGCATACCTTCTCTTTTGTCCTAACCACACGGTTTAGTTATCAGCGAGTAATTGACCAAGATATCATTTTTCTCCCGAGTTCAGGTACGAGAACCTAGTCTTGGTAGCTGGAGGCATCGGGATTTCGCCCTTCTTCGCCATTTTAAGCGACATCATGCACCGCATAAGAGACGGGAGACAATGTCTACCAAAGAAAGTGTTGGTTGTCTGGGCGATAAAAAAATCGGACGAGCTCTCTCTTCTTTCAACGACGGACTTAAACTCCATTTGCCCTTCGATATCCGAGAAACTAAAGCTCGAGATCGATATCTACGTCACCCGACAGTCAGAGCCTCTTCTGGTAGGTGTCTATTTTAGATCTGCAATCAGATTAAGAGGAGAATTACAAGGTGCTTTTGTTCATGTGGTAACGCAGGAAGATGGTATGGTTTACAAGGAGCCAAATCTCTCGGTCAGACCATCGTCTCAAGGCTGTCCCATGTCTGTTCTCGTCGGAACAGGAGATAACGTATGGTCTGGACTGTACGTGATCTCGTCCACTCTCGGATTTATCGTCACGGTAGCGCTATTGGACATCTTTTACGTCAACAAATTCGACGTAACCACGTGGTGGTACAAGGGACTTCTCTTTGTTATCTGCATGGTTGCGAGCGTGGTCGTCTTTGGAGGTCTCGTGGTCGTTCTCTGGCATTACCGTGGTCACAAAATCTCCGAGGAAGAAAACAGGGACGAGAAGGTGAATACGAGCTGGCGAAACCTCGACGGATTTGTAGAGGAGGAAAAAGGTTCGGACAAAGATGATCTTGAGAATTTCACCACTATCCGTTATGGCGCAAGACCGGATTTCAAAGGTATGAACCCGTGGTTGATGTTTCAGTTCTTGTCCGAAGCTATTAGAACCGATTTGGAGATGGAATCTAAATAAAAAAGTTGTGTGCTTTCAGAGATATTCGAGAGTTTGAATGGGAAATGGGGCGGCGTGGACGCTGGAGTGATCGTGTGTGGTCCGGCGAGCCTTCAGACAAGCGTGGCCAAAGAAATCAGATCACATAGCATTTGGCGATCCGCCCACCATCCTGTTTTCCACTTCAACAGCCACAGTTTCGATCTTTAAACACATATGTATGTATGTATGTATGTATGTATGTATGTATGTATGTATGTATGTATGTATGTATGTATGTATGTATGTATGTATGTATGTATGTATGTATGTATGTATGTATGTATGTATGTATGTATGTATGTATGTATGTATGTATGTATGTATGTATGTATGTATGTATGTATGTATGTATGTATGTATGTATGTATGTATGTATGTATGTATGTATGTATGTATGTATGTGTGTGTGTGTGTGTGTGTATGTATGTATGTATGTATGTATGTATGTATGTATGTGTGTGTGTGTGTATGCATGTATGTATGTATGTATGTATGTACTAGGTTATGTTGTGTATCATCATATATATAGATATATATTTTTAAGAGTCTATATGTTTTATATTGTCACGTGTAAATTCGTAAACATGGTCGATCGCTTTAAAACTCACATACGATCGGAGGATAACAATAATAGGGATGCTATTTATTTTATTTATTTCTGCTCTTAAAGTCGTGCAATAAATTTAAATGATGGTTATACCCAAAAAAAAAGATTAAATGATGAAATTGCATGAATAAACACAATTTTCATTTAATCTAAACCCATATAGATTTTATAATACTTTGGGTTAAGTTAACCCAAACCAACAAAAACACACTAAAATTTAAATGGATTGGATTAACCCACAAACCAACTAAATCCCAATTAATCAATTAAATCATAATTAATTCATAAACTAATTCATTAATAATAGATATTAATGGCATTTTACAAACACTATTTCTATTCAATTATAAATTGCGTATCAAATAAACGCCATTTTTGTTCCTCCGTGAATCGGACCTTTTTACACAATGAATTCTAGTATCTACATATTCATCACGGGTATATATGTAGCCACACGTGTATCAATTACGAACTCACTCTCTCAAATATCACACATCTTTGACTTGCTTTTCTCGCGTTATAAAAATATTTTTAAATATATACATATACAGTGACGAACCTAAAATTTTTTTCTTGGGATGAAAGTGGAAAAAGAAGAAGATAATTTAGTAAAACATGTTTCAACAACCGAAAAAGGCATTTCTAACGTCAAGTATAGATTTGATTTGAACAAGTTGTATTATGATGATGGAGAGCTTCACCATAATAAAGAGATTCAACAAGTAATTGCGGACCAAAATATTTTTAGATCAATTTGGGAGACGACCAAGAAATATAAAATCAAATACTAAGTTGCTAAGAAATTTATTACATTTTTCACCAACGTAGGATCACAAGATAGTTGTGTAGGGAGACAACCTTCTCTTTCCAATGTATATTTCTTCAAATGTGGGATTTTGTACCGGTTAGAACCTCCGACATTCATAATCTCTTGCATGCATGATTGTAAAGTTAAAAAAATCCTATTCACTTGTCTCGTTTGATACTCATTGAAGTATTTTTCTACCGTAGAAACAAGTTGCTATACAGTTTTTGGACACACCTTATATTATAGCGTTTGAATGGCACTAAAAAATTCCAGACGAATTTGGTGGTTGACGCACCAACCGAATGTCAAAACCATACCTTGACGCTGCTGTTCGTCACTTCGACTAACATGTGTTTTTGCATTATCTTGTTGAATGAAAATTGTCTTCTCCAAATCCTCACTTGGCCATTTTTCACGAATTTTCGGAAGAACTTTTTCAATCAAACACTCTTTTATGTGCTCTCTCTTGACTGAGATCATCGGTTTTATCTCTGCCTCTCGATTTTTACTTCGCCTTTGTGTTGCTTATGTAGTAACAAATGGAAAAACTCTAATTTTTCCAAAAAAAAGTCTCGTTTTCTTTCCCATCAAATCTTGGACGAGCCATGGCAACCAAAAACATAACCTTTCCGATGTAAATTTTTTTCTAACATGTGCGGTGCGTATCGGATCCTCTTCTTTAGGAATAGATAAGTCACGGCTTTTTATCATGTAAAACCATTTCCTATCAATATGTACAATATTGTACATATCGACAAACTTTGGTTTGTGGGGTAAGATATTTTCTTCTATCATAGAGATATAAAACTGCAGCCTAGCTCTGATATTTTCTTCCCTCAAAATTATCTGATTCATATCTAAAGCTGCCGCAAGTGATTTTAAAGTTGTTCAAGAATGTAATGGAACATTAGTAACTCAATCAGGGTCAATCTCAATCCTTTTCTGACCACAATTTCGTATTCTTCTATCGGATACATCCATGTCTTCGCCATTAGGAGTGTCTTTTGCTCGTCACCAAATTCTTTGTACCATCCTTAATAGATACATAAAATGAGTTAGAGATATTTCTTATAGTATATTTTTTCAATTTTCTGTCAACATTTCTCTCTAATAAAGCATTATAAATTGCCACTCTTTCTCTATTTTGTAATATTTTCTTGTTTTTCTTGCTCTTGACCCATCTTTTAAAATCTCAAATGCTTACGTTAGAACAAAAAATAGATTAAAAAATGATAAGGTTCATAATTACATCTCATATAACTAATGATGTATCATAGTACATTCAAATGTAAATAAAAAAATAATATAAAAAAATAACTTATCCGAATTTGTAGAATAAATATATTCATGAAAGCCATCAAAATTTTCAGAATTTGTTGGAGTTTTGTTTAAGTCAAATAAAAAACACTCTCTTCGGTTACAAGTAGAAAATTTAAATCAATATTATAAGAAGGCATGAAGAAAGTTTGTTTGACATTTGATGTTTGTAGTTTTATCGTTTTGACTCAAATTCAAAAATTTTAAATAATTTAATCTTATAAAATTGGCTCCAAATTTAAATTTTTATGACTTTTTCAAAAACAAATTTTAGAGATAATTAAGAAAAATAAACAAACAAACATGGGCCCTTTAAATAAAATAATCTGTAAAATATGTTTCCAAAATAGAAATTAATTCATCATAAATTCTTAATCGCTTTCCACGCAAGGACTTACTGCGACCACCCATATTTAAAAAAGGAAGAAAAAGACTACACAGCAAGAAAAAGGGTAAAGGTAAAGATAAAGGGTAATTCGGTCATTCGTCATTAACAAATCCTTTAGTGAGACGAAACAAAGCCAAGTAATTCACCCTCGCTTCGCATTCGCCTTTCTCGTATCGTGTACATCTGTAATGATAATCTCGTAAATTAGTAGCAAAAGCAAGCCTGGTTTCATAAGTACTTATTTTAATACATCCAGAAATTCCCCATTTTCTTCCCCTCCCTCATAATTATTTTTTTATTTTTTTTATTTTAACTAAGTTCCGCGTATGTAGGGGTTGTTCCTTTTTTAATATTAAATTATATTTTTATAAAATTTGCTTATATGAATGTTATAAAACATAATACCATATTTTTGTTTAATATTGAAAAACTATATTAGCAAAATTAAAGTATTATAAAATTATCATTAATTGTTATATTATTTGTATAAAGAAGTTAGATCGTGATAAATACAACTATATAAATATACTAAAAACTGATCGTGATAGATATAATATTTGTTTAAAACTTTGCCATTCGCTTTTATTATTATTATTACTGAGTTATACAGTTTTTATGAAAATTGTTTTCTTCGAAATGTAAATGGATATTTTAAATTTGTTGATGATATTGCAATAAATTTTTTTCCCAATTGTTTTATCTAGTGAGAAGTTTTGCCTACAAAAATCTTTTATCTAAATGCTTAACATTGTCAATTATTGTTTGATAGATTCTTAAAATCACAAATAAAAAAATATATTCCATCATTTATTTTTTACATTTTATAAAATGGTTATAAAATACTTTTTTATGTTGTTCATACAAAAGAAAGACATTTGTTTGGTGCACATGTTATTTTTTGTTAAATATCTTATTATAATATATATTGATATGAATATAATAAAAAATGATATAGATTGTTTGTTTGATGCATGTAATATATATATAAATTTTTTTATGTATGATTACATTATATTGTGTGGACAAAGTGTTGGTTGTAATGCTCTAGGATAGGATGATCCATGATATGACATTTTGACTTTGTATTGGTTCATTGACTTATGAATGCATTACTTTTCCCGTTATACGATTGGCATGTTTGTTGTATTTCGGCATCCTTGAATCATTAGAGAATGATTCTAAACTCCCTATTCAGTTATCGTTGTGGGAACAATGATGAATTAAGACTAGCATGAGGTGTGATCGATGCATTGGATGCTTATCACAATCATGGGTACTCGTTGTGAACGAGTGACTGGATGACCCATATGAGATTGTCATATGGACAGAGTCATGACTTGAATCTCATACAGCGGTTCGTTCTTGGATCTTCATACCTAAGATGTCTAGAGTATCTGATATGAGGAGTGTCGTGTATTGACTGCGTCAAACATCGTCTTTAACTGGATGATTATAACGGCGTTGATCAGATATGTTCACGAATCATATATAGTAGACATGCAATATGAGACTTGTCACCTCCTTAACATGAGAGATATCGCTGGGCCCTCTCGTGGGAAGTCAGACTATGAAAAATGCGTGGCCACGCTATAGATGAAGTTACATCTATTTTATTAGTCAATTTGCCAAGACGAGAAAACTGTTGAACTTGAAGGGTGGCTCAAACCATGCCCTTGTTCAACTTATTATATCGTGAGACAAATGATCAGAATTCGAACTCTTAATGCCTTGGTTAGATCACCTCTAACTCACTTCTAAGTGGGTGGTCATGGCGTCTTGCTAGAGGCTAACTATGACTTGTGGTTCGGGAAAGATTCCGAAGTCACTGGTTTACAGGGTCACACACCACTAGGGATGGACTTATACGTAAAGAATACGAAGAATGGAAACGAGATTTGACCGAAACGAGCATGAAAAGGAGTTTTCAGTGTGTTAGTCCAGAGCTGACCAAGTTTGGTCAGCCCCGGACCAAGTTTGGTTAGTCCAGGTTGTCCGGAAGCTCGGTCCGAGGTTATTTGTACAGGTCTGGTTCGGCTGATCAAGAGTTGGGCAGTCCCGGACCAGATGTTGGGTCAGGCGGACCGAGAAAAGGTGAGTCAGACTGAGCTGACGAAGAAGGAACTTGGTCCGGAGCTGACAAAACTTGGTCAGCCGGACCAAGCCTTCAAGTCAGGCGGTCCGAGGGC